TATCAACAGAAATGTTGGGCTCAATGGTGGGTGTAATTTGAAGATGTCATTTGCTTTGTGACATTAGGCACCAGGTGCATAACAGCAGCTTAACACAAGGGACATCAGTTGACGCAGACTGCAGAAATCACCACAATAACATACTTTCACGGGTTTGGGGTGTCAGTACGGTGGCAGACGAAGTGTCACAATGCAAACCATGCCTCTTTCAAATATGTGGTCAGTATCAATGCACATGACCAAGGGGCATGACTTTGCCCACCGTCCTGCCAATTTTTACACATCGCCTCCCACAGATGATGTTGCATCCTTCTGTATTTAGCGGACATTCCAATATAACAGACTCCCTTTCAGTGGCCTTTTACAACAAGTTTCTTTTTCCATACTGGTGGTGATAATCATCATCCATAATGATGCAAAAGGGTGAGAAAATGCGTCAAGGCTGAAGGAAGTTGGTTGGATCCATTTGATGGACATCGAATCATCATCTGAATTGTCCTCGGAAGAGAATTTTGTCAGGAACAGCAGGTCGAGGTGGAGAGAAAATTTAGGTCCAGCTCCTGAAGGAATTTACAAAGCCATTATTTCGCTTATCGCCACCATCTCTCCCCATCATGTAGACTGAGGTTATTTGAGCCTCAAAAGAGACTTCCTTAATTTGTTACATTCATTTTTCTTGGCTCCAATGAGGTGGGAAAGAAAAAACAAGGTGGAGAAGAAAACAATTATTGGAAAAATCAACAGGCAAGGGAAAAATGATCTTCTCGATTGCCTTTAGGCCTTGATCTTGCTTGGGACCTCTGCCTTGTTCCTGGGAGTCACCAAAGCTGAAATCAGGCGGTGGGGTTGAGACGCCCCTTTGGGAAATAAACAAATTACTGATTTCACATTCACCCACCTTTTCAAATGAAACTTGGAAAGTGCAGGTGACTGTCGAGTGTTTATTTAATTGCTACTTCTTTCTGGAAGATCAGAGGAGGATTTTTTCCAAATTAAAATGACTCGTGTGCCATCTGTTCTTTCGAGAGAGCTGGATGTCTCTCCACTGTGAATAAAAAGGATGCGTTCTACTTGCAACCGCTCAGGCGAGAACGAAGAAGTTCAGATGAGAATAACACAACTGTCTTTGTTTGCAGGGCTTGGTTTGGCTTGGAAAGCCCAGAAGCAAACAATAAGATCCATTTAATTTGAAGTAAGAAATCAGCTGTTAACAGCACTTCAGGAAAAGAAAGAAAGAAAAAGAAAGAAAGAGAATATATGTTTTCAATTTTATTTTTTTTTCTAATTGGAGAAGTTCAACATTTTGCACAACTCCAGAAAATGGGTTACTTCAAGAACCAGAACGAGCATTTTATGCAAATGCCGCAGACGGAGCAATAGACTGCAGTAGTTCTAAATGCATCCGTTTCATCCTTTGGCATCCCCATGAATGAAAAAGAAACATGTCTTGGACTTTAACAGCACTGTTTTGTGCCCACCACACTCCTTGCAGCTTTTAGAGGCAAACCTTTTTTGAATAATCTTCCACCCCTTTAAGTGAAGAATTTTGTCATGAAAGTTACTTGAAAGATAGATTATGGTCATCCTTTATTGAAACTTTTATGTAAAAATTTATATACATATATACAGGGTTGAGAAGCCCTTACGTCTATCCTTTTGCTCGTTCTGTTTTTTTCTTTTTCTGTTGTTCTTTTTACCTTCGGTTCAGATAAAGCATTTAAAAATGAAGAACTGAAGGAAAACTTTTTTTAAAAAATGAAATATATGGCTGAGTCCACGTAACACACTTGTCTGGTGACACAGATTTTCATGCTGGCTTGGTTCAGACATTATGCTAAGACAAGGGTTGGGTTCCCTATACCGTGGAACATTAAATCCTAAACCATTCCCCTCTCCTGTTGCTTTACAAACTGATTTTGAGTTTTTTCAGAACTTTTGACTAAGGTTGCTATCTTGACTTGATCAGTGGAAAATTGGAAGAGGTCAACCATGTCTCGTGGCTGTCAACTTGCACAGATCCAGGGATGTTGGAGAGGATGGGAAAAAAAACTCAAAATGATAATTGCAATCATGTGATTGAAACTTGTATTCCATTATACCTAGCCTTATTTATTCAAGGAATCCATTTTCTAGCATGGCAGAATATCCCGCAGGAACGATAAACTAACCAGATGGGATTTGCATAACCCGTCACCCCTCTCAAAACTAACACAAAAACCCAGAGCCTTCGACAGGGGTTACTACAGGGAGGGTCTCAAAATCCAATGCCATCAAAGTCCTACCTTGGGGCTTCAATCTTGGGGTTGAAGTTACTATCTTGACTTTTGGATTTCTCCCCAATAAATGCCCTGGAAATAATTCAGACCTTTGAGCTAATGGAGGCAATCAGCAAGCAGAAATGATCCAGAGAGCCTTGTAGCAAATATTCAGAAGCCTTTCTGTGGACAAAGAGGACTGAAACATTCCTTAAGTCCTGGGAAGGGAGATGGTGTGAAGAAGAGACCCAACCTGGGTCCCCCTTGGGCTCAATGAGGGTTTAAAGGGGAGGGGAAATAAAACACAATCCAAGTTTCAAGATACTGTTATTTTTACTTTATGGAGATAGGCCTCCCTCCATAAAAGCAAAGTTCTGGTCTTCTGGTAGTGTTTCCTGATCTCGTTTATGCCAGACGGGTCACATCAATCACACAAAGGGTGAATCAGACTTCCAATCTTCCTAGAAATTGTTTCCTAGCTTTTTTTTTTTTAACCTAGATGCTAAGAAACACAGGCCAGAGAAGAAATCAGAGGAGGAAGAGAAAACAAGAGGAACTTCATCAAGCAGTTCACGGCCTCTTCCATTTTCTGTCCTGGGCAAAAGAAAAACAGCTTCCTTCCTGCAGATGGTTTTCATGGACAAAGTGCTCGGCGGCCTTTAATGTACACAGAGGTCTCCACGGTGTGGTCAAAAGCATCAAGTAACAGCCGTCGGGAGTGCAAAGTTCTGTCGCTGTAGAAGACTTGCTTAGGGTGCTTCACCCAGTGGCCCAACTCAACTTTGCTAGCCTGAGAGTATCTCCCGAAGTCAGTTTTGTGTTTCTAAGTGTGAGTTCCTCTGCAAGCCGCACCAGGAGTTAAGTACCCAGTGGCTGCGTTCACACAACCATGAAGCAGCTCAGGTAAAGACCGAGCAACCGAGATAACTAAGCGAGCTTAGTGTTTATCGCAGTTAGATTTTCGAAGCTTAGCAATTTGGATAGACGCAGCCTTTGGGCCGAGTTAATATGCCAACCTCGAAAAAGTCTGATTCCTTAACCAGGTCAAATGTGTCGTCTGAATCCAGGTAGCTTGATTATCATTATTGCTCTCAAACGGCATAAATGTTTCCAGCCTGGTCATTTCATCACACAAATATACACTTTAAATGAGAGCAAGTGGTTTTTTTTTTTTCCTTCTCTCCCTTTCGTCACATGCATGAAACACAGTGTGGTTTTCCAAGGATGGCCGGCGACCCAGTGGCAGATCCAGGAAATGGTGGATGGATCGCATCAAGGTGGTCATGGAATGCCTTGGCGTCACCCCTGAAGGCACCCTGGATCAAGCCAGCTTTGCCAATGAGCAGATCCTGCACAGGAATAATGCTAGAAGGAAGAGGAGGCCTTACAAAATTAAGAACAGGGTTAAGAACAAGCCTAACTGTAGCAGACCCTTCAGAAATATATGAAGTTTCTTCTTTAAAGGCTAACAGTCTCTGTTCTGCCACCCTTTTGTCTCTGAAGATCTTTTGGAGGTCTTTTTTTGTGAGGTCTTTAGCAGGCCAAGGAAGGGGCAGTTCTCATCTGAGTCTTTTTTTTGCAGAAACTACCTACTCAAATGTCTAAGGAATCAGAAAAGATTAAGGCAACTGAAACGTTCCTGTCACACACGCCCATCACCACCACGTTCTGCTCTTCAGGATGGTGGGATTCACAAACGCCGAACGTCTCTCCCTGTTAAGGCACCTGGTGAAGATCATCAGCCCTACCCCCCCTCCACCCCACCCCCCAGAGTGTCATTGCTTGAAATCAAAAATCCGGTTCCAGTAGTAGAGGAAAGCTGGAGAGTTGCTAGTCCCTATGATAACCAGCAGCAGTAGGTAGAGACTCATCATCACCGCAAAACGATGTTTGGAGAGCCACGATTGGCTGGAAAGTCTATGGGGGGAAAGAACGTAGAGCGTCACTGCAGCCTTCCGTCAAAGGCACGAATCATTTTTAAGGCCCCAATTTCTACTCCCAGTTCTGTACAAACGATACAGGGACAGATTGGTTTTTTTTCCAAAAAAAGATACAGGTGGCTGATTTTAAAGTCAATAAACTAAAAAAATCAATTTAGGGAACAATTTAGAGTATGTACTGTGTACTATGTGCTCTCATCAGCCAGCCATACCCTTCTGAGATTCGAACTGGCTGATGAGAGCTAATTAGCTCGAAATAGCTATACCAATCTCCCTTTAACTTTTTGTTAGCAATCCAAAAATTTAGCGCACAAATGATGTCGCAGTAGCGACTGCTGCCTGTGGATAGCCCTAGATTGGGCTGATAACAGGCAAAAGATTACTTCTTCTCATATTTGGGCCAACAGGGTGCATCAAAAAACAAACAAACCACTCAAGACATACATATACATACATATACAAACTGTACATATACATGCATATATTAGCCTCCGTGCAGAAGGTTACAGCTGCCCTGGGGGCATACTTTCATTTTAGCAGTCATAAGGACTAGGAGCTTGACTTAAAGCAGGGAGAGGAAACCCGATGCCTTGAAAGCTCAGTTCTGCAGCCAGGTTTCTTCAGCTGCCTGACAACTCTACCACCATTATGGTCTCCCCTGCCTCTTTTTGCTGTGGCTCTTACGATGACTCCTTCCTGCTGTTTTGAATTTTTGAACCACGGGGAGAGGAAAAGCTTTAGACATGCCCTGAAGCACCTTCACTCCTGATGAGAGTGAGCTGCGCAAGGCGGGAGGGAGGGACACTCACCTTCGGTGCTGCCTCTGTGAATATATTAGCAAATATTTCACCCGTATCAGCTGATTGTTTGTAACGACAAAATATTTCTGAGGAACGTCACCCCCTTCGCTGTTCTTCACCCTGGCCCTCTTCCTGTCAATTTCCTTGGAGTCTGCCAAAGGAAAAAAAAAAAAGGGGGGGGGTAAGGTTCTCTTTGAAACTGAGATTCTGAGAAAAGCAACTGAGATACTCACGTGGAAGGAACGGTTTGATTCAGGGCCGCGGTGCAAGTTGGGCAGAAGGTCCAAAACAGTTTTGGTTCTTTAGGCACACTTTAACACAAGATCCTGGCTGAGCAGAGCATCGCAAAAGGAAGGGGCAGGATGGACCCCTGGCACATGTATTCCCAGCACACAAACGCCTAAATCCAGATCAGCAGATCACTATGGCTGTATTCAGTTGCCACCATTAGGCAAATCCCAGGGGTTCATTAAGCATCCTGTTACCAAGCTCAAGAAATCGGGGGTCCAGCGAGTTCAAATAAATATATAGGTTTATTGCAGGCTTTAAGCTCTCTACAAGAATCTGAACTACTAACAGTCAAGGCAAATTGGCGGTAGATAAGGACTTCAAAGAGGGCCGGACTTAAGATCTCTTGTGGACACGAAGAGACTCGAGACTAGTGACACACCTGACCCCTCCCTTGGGTTCAGCCTGATCATCTCCTACAGATGTCACGTGTGGCAACTTCCTGCCAGCTTCTCCATTGACTTTGCATGTAGGAAGCCAGAAATGAAAGCCACAATCAAGTGGGACCATTTGAAGTAGAAGGACCAGCCATAGGTCCCTGGTTCAGCACTACTATATCTTAGAATGGAGGCTGAAGAACTAGTTCCTGAAAAAGGACTATCTATACAACCGAGAGGGCTCTAAGTTGTGGGGGGGGGAACCTCCTTTCTGAGACTCACCTTTTTTCTTCACTTGGCACTTGACATCCGGGTGATCAATGACCTCGCAAACCGCGACGCAGCTGAGAATCGGGCCCATTGCGCTTCGCTGCCAGCCCAGGCTATGCGGGCTGTAGAGAAGGGCCAGGCTTAAGTCACTGGTCAGGTAGGTGCCTTCCCCAAACAAGGAGGTCTGAAAAACAACGGAAAGGTCCTCCATCTCCTTGCCCAAAGAGCAATTATAGGGCTCCTTATTTTATTCCTGGATTTATTTATTTTTTGTATATTCCAGTGACCGCACGCCCTTTATTACACAGGACGGTGTAATAGATTTATTATCTTGGTTTTGCTCTTGAAATTTTCTTTTGCTCTTTCAAATTTTCCTCGGTTGTTAAGTGAACCACTGCAGTGGATCAGTTAGTAACCCGGTTGACTTTTGACAAACAAAGAGATCACGTGACCTTGGAACACAGCAACGGTCCTATGTACATGCCAGTTGCCAATTGTCTGAATTTCGATCACCTGACCCTGGGGAATGCTGCTGAGGCCGTAACTGTGAAAAATGGCCATTTTTCCCCCAGTGCCGTTGTAACTTCGAAGAGTCGTTAAGTGAACCGACGTAAATCGAGGACCACCTGTGTAAGGAAAGATAGGACCTGTGCACAGAGGCCGGCTGCCCACCTTTCTTAAAGTAAGATTCGCCCCTTTTTCAGGACATTTGGGAATCCAAACAAGTTGGCCTGTTGCTCGCCTTACTTAAAGTAAGGGCACGAATTTGACAATCCACTCACTCACCTGGACTTCCCAGAGGTCTGAACCGCAGACCCTAAGAGCAGCCCTTGCGCCTCGGGCTGTGGGAGGCTCTGTCAGCCTTGTAAGGTAGTCCAGGCAGGAAGCACGCCAAGCTGTACTCATTCGTAAAATGGGGGGAAACTCACTTAACAACTTAGCAACGTAAATTTTGGAGTCCATTGTCAAGGACTACCGGTATGTCTTCCCAAAGAGCTCTCTGGTTTGCTAACATAGCAGAGGGGATGCTGGCCCAGAGATGCTTCTGGAGTGACCATGATCATCCAGTTTTGGTCACCACGATGTAAAAAAGATGTTGGAAAAGAGTACAGAGAAGAGCAACAAAGATGATCAGGGGACTGGAGGCTAAAACATATAAGGAACGGCTGCTGGGATTGGGTATGTCTAGTTGAATGAGGAGAAGGGCGAGGGGGGACATGATAGCAGTCTTCCAGTATCTCAGGGGCTGCCCCAAAGAAGAGGGAGTCAGGCTATTCTCCAAAGTGCCTGAGGGCAGGACAAGAAGCAACTGGTGGAAACTAATCAAGGAGAGAAGCAACCTAGAACTAAGGAGAAACTTCCTGACAGTTAGAACAATTAACCAGTGGAACACCCTGCCTCTAGAAGCGGTGAATGCTCCAACACTGGAAGTTTTTAAGAAGAGACTGGACAGCCATTTGTCTGAAATGCTGTAGGGTTTCCTGCCTGAGGAGGGGGTTGGACTCGATGACCTCCAAGGTCCCTTCCAACATTATTATTATTACTATTACTATTACTATTACTATTACTATTATTATTATTATTATTATTATTATTATTATTATGGATCATCACACAGTCAGCCAGATGTTCAGACTGGATTTGGCAAATCTTTACCAAGGACCTGGGATAGGCAGATGTGGATGTTTGATGTTATTACAGATATCATCGCAGGATGGAAGCAGTTACTATTATTATTATTATTATTATTATTATTATTATTATTATTATTATTATTATTATTATTACTAGCTGTACCCGGCCACGCGTTGCTGTGGCTCAAGTCTGGTAAAAGCGTGTGTTGCTTTTACGTCCAACAGATGGTGCTGTTTTTCAAAAAAAGCATGTTTTTACCTGTCACAGGTGTGACATCTATATAATAGTAGGTATATAAAAACACACGCGTATTCGAATGCAACGTTGTGTCAAAATTTCAAAGCAATCGGTGAAGAACTTTCGGAGATTTAAGATTTTGAACAAACGAACATTTACATTTTTATTTATATAGATTATTATTATTATCTTCCTTGGGTTGGAACCAAGCTCACTCCTTACCCTATTCAGGTGGCACTGCAGGCCGTTGTGCATGATGGAATGGAAGTTCTCCAAGCGGCTCCCATGAAAGGCATAGATGAGATCTCTCCCCGCCTGAGTGTCCTCAAATTTGGCGTTCATTTCTTCGCAGTAGGTGATTTCAAACAGGAAGTCTGGCACCGGGACGGGCATGCTGGGAGCTCCCGCCAGTTCCTGGATCTTCTCGTACTTGAAGAACATCAAAATATAGGGAAGTTATTTACACGGAACATCTATTTCACGTGTGCTTTTAAGCCCTTTTGAGCTTCAAGGTCTTCAGACTGCACCCAAAGGAAGGAGACACAGATCTGTATCTCCTCCCGAAAACTGGAGGGGGGAGGAATGGTTATTGGGGCCCGCGAGAAGAGCATGTCAAGGACTGATGGTCAATGTCAAGTCTGCTAACATTGGATGTTCTTGCTTGCCATATGTGAAGAAGCAAATATATCTTATTTAGCCTACATATCAATTCAAGAGTTAAAGCAGACAATACTAGCCCAGTGAGTGGGAAGGTATGCCAGCTAATCATAACAATATCTTAGCATAGCACAGCCAAGGTCAGCGTAACAGGAGAAAATAGGGAGGGAGCAATTCACACTTCAAACTAATTGGAGCATATGACTGATGACTGTGAAAGGAGGGAGGGAGTTGTGCGTTGTCAGGAGTGCTTGGGTGGTGGTGGGGTTCAGTTTTTGGCTTTCTATTGTTCGTGCCGAAGCTATGTAGCCAATTAAAGGATTCTTTAAGGTAATCAAGCCTCAAAGTTCTTTGAAAAGCTGCTTCTTTTCGGAACCATGTCAGTCAAGATAGACAGTGACATCCTTCTTGGTGTCCTTGACACCTTGGTTGCACCTCATTGTCCCAAAGCTTGACAGGACATCCAATCTCTGCCCTTCTTAAAAGCAATGCTATGCAAATCCTTTTGCTATTGTCTCTGCAACTGGCGCTGATGGGTACAGCCCACGCCCAGGGCTTAATTTTTAACTAAAATCCTAAAGGCACAATATATTTTTTTTTGGCGGCTGTTTCTTTGCAAAATAAACAAGTGGGGGGAAAAATAAACAATTCAACTCTTCCCAGATGAATTTCGGCTCTCAAAACTACCCTTCATCTGAATTCTCTGAGTTGGGTTGGGTCTCTCTTCTTCCATCCAGGAAATTCTCACCTTGGTTTTGCTGGTGGCGTGGATGCACCAGGCCTTAGAGGCCAGGATCCAGTGGAGCAGCTCCAAGTTTCTTTGGTCAGGATTTTGGGGAGAACCCAAGAGTTCTTGCAGGCTCCCTAATGCACTTGTATCTGCAAGCTGAGAGAGGAACACGGGAAAGGGATGGGTTGAGCTTTTCTACATGATCTCACGCTTCAAGAGCCCTCCAGTGGCTCAAATAAGTAATATTGGACTGGACCAGAAGGAGCACAACCTGCATCTGCTCATGCTCAGAAGACCATCAGCTCGTGAGGTTTGATCCGCAGCTTCTGACTCTCCCGGGACCCTCCCAGGCTGTGCCCACCATTGTCTCTGACCGGCAGGGTGGGGGGAACTCACCAGAGCCTCAAAATCCTTGCTGTCCTCCGAGGCGTAGTGTCCTGGGAAGGGCCGGAGGACGGAGTCCCGCTTGTAGCTCTGCAGGGCAGAGGCGAAAAGGCTGCATTTCAGGTCGGCAGCCAAGAGGTCCTTCCGGATGATCTCTCGCACCCCTTCCGCGGTGGGGACAGCCTCGTCGGCGCTTGGGGCCGGCATCCCCAAGAGGCCCTGCTAAGGAGGAGGAAGAGGAGGAGAAGGGGGTCAGCACAGAAGGCAGGCTGCATTCAGTACCCCTCCCCACCCCAGCAATGGGGATAGGGGGGCAGCCCAGCCCTTTCCAGACCGTTCCTGGACCCATGAAAGGTCCCTCATTACTATTATTATTATTATGGATCATCGCACAGTCAGCCAGATGTTCAGACTGGATTTGGCATTTTGTCTACCTATCGAGTCCTTATCCAGGACCTGGGATAGGCAGATGTGGATGTTTGATATTATTATTACTACTACTACTACTACTACTACTACTACTACTACTACTACTACGACTACTACTACTACTATTATTATTATTATTTTGGTCATGTTTATGCAGTGTATATTGGAGGTGCTTACCCTTTGAGGGCTGTATGCAACGAAATCTCACTTTAAGTTATTAATGTGCATTTAAAGAGACAATAAAGTTATTATTCTATTCTATTCCTGGTCATCACATCCATGACAGAGAGAGAGTTTTTATTTCCCCCACCCGCCAATAGCCCCCGCCTTTTCTTTCTATCTATCTATCTATCTATATATATAAGCCAACTGACAGGTCGGCATTCAACAGGTAAGGCTGTGTGCCCCCCCCCTCCCTGCTGCATCTAATCCCCACCCATCACTGGGCGGGGCTATCAGTATCTGAAGGTTTCCCGCCTCCTTCCCCGCAGCTCTGCAAGACTTACACCCTGGAGACCAGGAAGAAATCCAACCGGTCGAGTCTCTATTGACACGTCTTCCCCTGCCGAACTTCTGCCGGTCGGTGGCTGGGCTCACAGGCTGCCTGCCGGGCTCCTCGTCCCCGTGTGGAGGACCGGGGTCTCCCCTCTCCCACCCCCCACGCTCCGGTCTCCCCCAGCCCGTCCGGGGCAGCAACTCGCCTTGACTTGGAAGAGGCAGAGCGCTTCCCTTCCAGGATCATCCCAGGTGCCTAACTGAGCATGCGCGGTAAATCTCAGCCACGCTCACTAACAGCTGTTGAAGAAACACGCCCCTTCAGGAGCCTGCGCAGTCGTGCCAACTGAAGCCTCCCGAGCGCCCTTCCCGGCCTTCCCCCCCCCCGCATTCCGAGCATGCTCGCTGCAGGATTATCCCGACGGACGGCAGCCTCAGGCATGCGCAGTAGCAGCAGCTGAAGCTCCGAGGGGAAGGTCCCTTAACTCCGCGCATGCTCAGTAGCAGCGAGTGAAACTGCTTTTGCCCTGTCTCGCTCCCGCTTCTAGGTTGCAGCCCATGGACTGCATGAAATCATGGTTGATTTTAACCATGGTTTGTTGAGTGCACCCCAGCTGCCAGGGTCACACATAACGCAAAGGCAGCACCGTGACTTAATCTGACTTAGTAAATATTGGGCAACTTGAGAGTTGCATTTGGAGGGGTTTAATTTAAGAGAGCCACAAACAGAGGGGGAAACAAAATGGAGGCCTTTAGCAACCCTCTCTAACGGTCGTTGCTCTCCCTTTTTAAATTTATCAAGGCTTACAAGAAGTTTGGTGTTCCTTTGGAGGGTGAGTGCCAGATTAGAGAGAAGGTGCAGTCTGCTAAATTACATCTGTAGGGATATAAGGAACGGCTGCTGGAATTGGGTATGTCTAGTTTAACGAAGAGAAGGACGAGGGGGGACATGATAGCAGTCTTCCAATATCTCAGGGGCTTCCCCAAAGAAGAAGGAGTCAAGCTATTCTCCAAAGCGCCTGAAGGCAGGACAAGAAGCAACGGGTGGAAACTAATCAAGGAGAGAAGCAACCTAGAACTAAGGAGAAACTTCCTGACAGTTAGAACAATTAACCAGTGGAACAATCTGCCTCTAGAAGCGGTGAATGCTCTAACACTGGAGGTTTTTAAGAAGAGACTGGACAGCCATTTGTCTGAAATGGTATAGGGTTTCCTGCCTGAGCAGGGGGTTGGACTAGATGACCTCCAAGGTCCCTTCCAACTTTACTATTATTATTATTATATCAAGAGGATTGGTTGGATGGGGCTGCTGGGACAAAGCTGGGATTCATTTGATGAATTGCTGCCCATTATCTAAAAGTAAGAATAGAGTATTTAGATATGGCATCTATTTTCCACCAAACACACACATGCCGAACGCACACCAAAGAAAGAAAGACACGCACAAAGAAGGAGATCTCGTTTATTCTAAGGTTTTATTTTTTTGGTTCTTGGTATGAATAACCATGAGCTAAAACACTAAACAGAACATTCTATCAAAGATAAAAGAAATCTAGAATCTCCTCTCTTCTGTTTGTTGGCAAGCACAGAACTAACAAGGTCACTGAGATTTCAAAGGGCAAGAAAGGGAAGATAGAAAATAAACGGGGGGGGGGAATAAACGGGGGTAAGCATTATTCCAAAGAGGACCCAAATAATTATCTTTCGTGTTAACGTGTATGGAAAGGTTAACGGTCAAAGTTTTAGGAAAGGGAGGTTCATCAATAAGCTTGGTTTAATTGATGCAACTACTACTTTGTCCAATCTTCTTAGATAAAGGGATTTCGGAGGCCCTCAGCAGGACGCCATGCAACCCAAGAATTTCTTGGTGGTCTCCCATCCGAGTACTAACCAGGTTACTATTTTTGAAATCAGCCGACATTTCCTAGGTGCTGCTATCTAGTGGACTCACTAGGTTTTAACCCATTACATTTGTCCATTTGTCCCCCTCCATTTTAATCCTCTCTTACTCCACAGTGTTTCTCAACCTTGGCAGTTTTAAGATATGTAGCTGGCTGGGGAATTCTGGGAATTGAAGTCCACACATCTTAACATGTCCAATCAGCTCTGAGAATAGAGCAGAAATGGATTCTTCCAGCACAAATCAAAAGCATAAAGTGGCTGACAACAGCATGCAGATAGTCCTTGACTTTGCTTGTTGGAAATGGATCATATTTTGGGTTGCAAATGGCGATCCCATCTACCCAGGATCCTGCAACCGTCATAAATATATGCCGGTTGTTAAGGGCTGAATTTTGATCATGTAACTATGGGGATGTTGTGATGGTTGTAAGTGCGGGGTCTGTTCATAAAACATTTTTTTTTCAGTGCTATTATAACTCGTCACTAAAAACATGGTTGTAAATCGAGGAGTAGCTATGTACTTGCATTGGTGGGAACCTTCTACTTGTGTTTTTAATTGTTGTTTCGATCAGGAAAGTATGGCAGGGGAAGATTCAACTCAGACCAGTACAGATAATCCTCGAAATTATGACCATGATTGAGCCCAACATTTCTGTTGCTGAGTGAGACATTCATTGAGTTTTGCCCCATTTTATGATGTTTCTTGACACAGTTGTTAAGTGACTCACTGCAGCTGTTAAGTTAGTAACCCGGTGGTTAAATGAATCCGGCTTCCCCATTGACTTTGCTTATCAGACTGTCACAAAAGGGGATCACGTGACCCTGGGACACTGCATAACCATCGTAAGTATGAGTCAGTTGCCAAATGTCTGAATTTTGATCACGTGATCATGGGGATGCTGCAAAAGTCGTAACTGTGAAAAATGGTCATAAGTCACTTTTTTTCAGTAACTTTGAACGGTCCCTAAATGAACCGTTGTAAGTCGAGGACAATCTGCAATCTCTTGTCTAGCATGAGCCTTGTAGCCTGCTTGGTTTTTTGTTCCTTCAAGCTTTTGTGTTTTACACTTAAAATACAGGCAGTCCTCGACTTACAACGGTTCATTTAGCGACCGTTCCAAAGTTACCGCAACACTGAAAAAAAAGACTTATGGCTATTTTTCACCCTTGTGACCGTTGCAGCATCCCCAGGGTCACATGATTTACATTCAGAGGGTTCATATTTATGTCCCGGGGTCACGTGATCCCTTTTTACGGCCGACGGATGAGCGAAATCAACGGGGAAACCCGATTCGCTTTAACTTCAGTGTTTCACTTCACCAATATGGCCAGAAAAGCCGTAAAATGGGACAACGCTCGCTTAGCCAATTTCTCACTTAGCAACAAAAAAATTGGGCTCAATTGTGATCCTAAATTGAGGATTCTCTGTAATCAGCCTTGGACATTTTTTTTTCCTTTTCTTGGACATTTGCAGCCTACTTCGTGGGAACCACCGCTTAAACATGACTTAACTTGTGCCATTTTTATTATTATTATTATTATTTTACAAAGTGGGATTTGGTGTCTGGGTGCTGAGCTGGATCAGAGCTGGCAACCCTCACGATCCCCTCGCCCTTAAGGAACCAGACCTTGCTCAAAACACAGGGAGCTGTATGGGTGGCGGGACAATCATTTCCAAAGCCTAGGTGGAAAAATTACAGCCAAAGTCAGCTTTTCGTTTTCTTTCCCTCGGAGGTAGCGGCCATCTCTGCTGAAAGCAAACGGGTCAAGACTGACTCACGAGCAAAGAAAACACCCTTGGATGAAAAAGGAAAAGCACATTAGGAATCGTGGGACGTCTTCGACTTAGGAGCCCAAAATTTCCGCTGCTCAGCAAGACAGCGCTGAGTGAGTTTTGCCCCATTTTACGACTTTTCTTGCCGCGTATGTTAAGTGAATCACTGCACTTGGCAACATGGTTGTTAATCTGGCTTCCCCCATGGACTCTGCTTGTCAGAAGATCGCAAAAGGGGATCACGTGGCCCCAGGACACGGCGACCTTCATAAAGGGGGGGACATGGTAGCAGTGTTCCAATATCTCAGGGGCTGCCCCAAAGAAGAGGGAGTCAAGCTATTCTCCAAGGTGCCTGAAGGCAGGACAAGAAGCAACGGATGGAAACTGATCGAGGAGAGAAGCAACCTGGAATTAAGGAGAAACTTCCTGACAGTTAGAACAATTAACCAGTGGAACCACCTGCCTCCAGAAGTGGTGAATGCTCTAACACTGGAAATTTTTAAGAAGAGACTGGACAGCCATTGGTCTGAAATGGTATAGGGTTTCCTGCCTGAGCAGGGGGTTGGACTAGATGACCTCCAAGGTCCCTTCCAACTTTATTATTATT